AAATCGCCAAAACAGCCCTAAAAAAATCTCAAAAAAAGGCAAAAAAATCCCCAAAAATCCCCCAAAAAACCCCCAAAAAACCCCCAAAATTCCCATTATTTTTCCATCCCTCAGTGCACCAACGGGCACCTGATGTGCGCCGGCTGTTTCATCCACCTGCTGGCGGATTCGCGGCTGAAGGAGGAGCAGGCCACGTGTCCCAACTGTCGCTGTGAGATCTCCAAGAGCCTCTGCTGCCGCAATCTGGCCGTGGAGAAAGCGGTCAGCGAGCTGCCCGCCGAGTGCGGCTTCTGCGCGCGCCAGTTCCCGCGCTCCCTGCTCGAGAGGCACCAGAAGGAGGAGTGCCAGGACAGGTGGGAAAAATGGGGGAGTTTTGGGGGAATTTGGGGAATTTTTGGGGATTTTTTGGGGATTTTTGGGGATTTTTTGGGATTTTTTGGGGATTTTTTGGGGATTTTTTTGGGATTTTTTTGGGATTTTTTGGGGATTTTTTTGGGGATTTTTTGGGAAACTTTTAGGGATGTTTTAGGAATTTTTTGGGAGTTTTAGGGGGATTTTTGGGGAAATTTTTTTGGATTTTTTAGGAATTTTCTGGGGAATTTTTGGGGATTTTTCCAGGAATTTTTCAGGAATTTTTGGGGAATTTTTGGGGATTTTTTGGGATTTTTTGGGATTTTTTTGGGATTTTTGTGGGATTTTTTGGGGATTTTTTGGGGATTTTTTGGGATTTTTTGTGGGACTTTTTTGGGATTTTTTTTGAATTTTTTGGGATTTTTTGTGGGATTTTTTGGGGATTTTTTGGGGATTTTTTTTGGATTTTTTGGAATTTTTGTGGGATTTTTTGGGGATTTTTTTGGAATTTTTTTTGGATTTTTTTGTAGGATTTTTTGTGGGATTTTTTGGGGATTTTTTTGGATTTTTGGGGGGATTTTTTGTGGGATTTTTGTGGGATTTTTTTGGAATTTTTGTGGGATTTTTTGGGGATTTTTTTTGATTTTTTTGGGATTTTTTGTGGGATTTTTTTGGGATTTTTTTGGGATTTTTTTGGGATTTTTTTGGGATTTTTTGGGATTTTTTGGGATTTTTTTGGGATTTTTGTGGGATTTTTTGGGAATTTTTTGGGGATTTTTTGGGATTTTTTGTGGGATTTTTTGGGATTTTTTGTGGGGTTTTTTGGGGATTTTTTGGGGATTTTTTGGGGATTTTTTGGGGATTTTTTGGGAAACTTTTAGGGATGTTTTAGGAATTTTTTGGGAGTTTTAGGGGGATTTTTGGGGAAATTTTTTTGGATTTTTTAGGAATTTTCTGGGGAATTTTTGGGGATTTTTCCAGGAATTTTTCAGGAATTTTTGGGGAATTTTTGGGGATTTTTTGGGATTTTTTGGGATTTTTTTGGGATTTTTGTGGGATTTTTTGGGGGTTTTTTTGGGATTTTTTGGGGATTTTTTTGGGGATTTTTTGGGATTTTTTGTGGGGTTTTTTGGGGATTTTTTGGGGATTTTTTGGGAATTTTTTGGGAATTTTTTGGGATTTTTTGTGGGATTTTTTGGGGATTTTTTTGGATTTTTGGGGGGATTTTTTGGGGATTTTTTTGGAATTTTTTGGGATTTTTTGTGGGATTTTTTTGGGGATTTTTGTGGGATTTTTTGGGGATTTTTTTTGGATTTTTGTGGGATTTTTTGGGGATTTTTTTGGATTTTTGGGGGATTTTTTTGGGATTTTTTTGGGATTTTTGTGGGATTTTTTGGGGATTTTTTGGGGATTTTTTTGGATTTTTTGGGGGATTTTTTTGGGGATTTTTTTTGAATTTTTTGGGATTTTTTGTGGGATTTTTTGGGGATTTTTTGGGGATTTTTTTTGGATTTTTTTGAATTTTTGTGGGATTTTTTGGGGATTTTTTTGGAATTTTTTTTGGATTTTTTTGTAGGATTTTTGTGGGATTTTTGGGGGATTTTTTTGGATTTTTGGGGGGATTTTTTGTGGGATTTTTGTGGGATTTTTTTGGAATTTTTGTGGGATTTTTTGGGGATTTTTTTTGAATTTTTTGGGATTTTTTGTGGGATTTTTTTGGGATTTTTTGGGGATTTTTTGTGGGATTTTTGTGGGATTTTTTGGGGATTTTTTTGGATTTTTGGGGGGATTTTTTGTGGGATTTTTTTGGGATTTTTTTGGAATTTTTGTGGGATTTTTTTGGAATTTTTGTGGGATTTTCTTGGAAATTCTTTTTATTTTTTGGGTTTTTTATGGGGATTTTTGGGGGAATTTTTTGAGAATTTTTTGGTGTTTTGGGGGGATTTTTTGGGGTTTTTTTGGGTGATTTCTTTTGGATTTTTTTTTTTTTTTATTTTTTTGAGGATTTTTTTTGGAATTTTTGAGGAAATTTTTTTGGGTTTTTTTTTTTTTTGAGGATTTCTTTTTTCTATTTTTGGGGGGATTTTTGGGGATTTTTTTCAAAATTTTTTTTCACTTTTTTTGGGATTCTTTGCACCTAAAAATTCCCAAAATTCTCCCTGTAGTGGCACCAGAACGAGGAGTACCAGAACAGGTTTTTGGGAATTTTTTGGGAATTTTTTGGAATTTTTTGGAATTTTTTTGGGACATTTTTGCTGATTTTTGAGGGAATTTTTTGGGGTTTTTTTTTTTGTTTTTTTCAGATTTTTGGGATTTTTCCCAAAAATTCCCCAAATTCCTCCTGGAGCGGCACCGGAAGTTGCAGGGTCAGGACAGGCAAAGGCTGGGAATGATTTCAGTGGAATTGGGGAGGTTTTTTGGGAATTCTGGGTGGATTTTTGGAATTCTGAGCATTTTTTTGGGAATTCTGAGCATTTTTTTGGGAATTCTCGATTTTTTTTTGGAAATTCTGAGCATTTTTTTGGGAATTCCGGATGGTTTTTTGGGAATTCCAGATTTAGGAATTCTGGGTGGTTTTTTTTGGAATTCTGGGGTTTTTTTGGGAATTCTGGGTTTTTTTTGGGAATTCCGGGTGGTTTTTGGGAATTCCAGGTGGTTTTTGGGAATTCCAGGTGGTTTTTGGGAATTCCACGTGGTTTTAGGAATTTTGGCGTTTTTGGGGGAATTCTGGAAATTTTTTGGGAATTCTGGATGTTTTTTTGGGAATTCTGGAGTTTTTTTTGGGGAATTTGGGGTGTTTTTAGGAATTCTGTGTGGTTTTTTGGGAATTCTGGAATTTTTGTTTTGAATTCTGGAATTTTTTTGGGAATCCTGGGTAGGTTTTTGGGAATTACAGATTATTTTTGGGGAATTCTGGGTTTCCCTCAGTGAGATTCTGACAGGAACTCAGGATGGATTTTTTTTGGGAATTCTGGATGGTTTTTTGGGAATTCCCAGACTTTGGAAGAATTTTGGGATGGTTTCATTCCCGGTGGAATTTCCCGAATTCCCCTCTCTTTTCCCAAATTTCTCCCAAATTTCCCACTCTTCTTTCCCACTTCCTTCCCAAATTTTCCCACCTTTCCCCAAAATTTCCCGCTCTCCTTTCCCAAATTTCTACCAATTTTTCCAGCCCATTTTCCCACATTTTTCCCAAATTTCCTGTGCTTATTTTCCCAATTCTTTCCCCAGTTTTTTCCCAAATTTTCCCCAATTTTTTCCAATTTTTTCCCAAGTTTTTCCCAAAATTTTTCTCAAATTTCCTGCTCTCTTCCCCCAATTTTTTCTCAATTTTTTCCCAAAATTTTCTCAATTTTTTCCCCATTTTTCCCCATTTTTTCCAAATTTCCCCCAAAATTTTCTCCATTTTTTCCAAAATTTTCCCCAATTTTTTCCCAATTTTTTCTTCTTCAGTTTTTCCCCAAATTTTCCCAATTTTTTCCCAAATTTTCCACCATTTTTTCCCCCATTTTTTTCCAAAATTTTCCCCAAATTTTTTTCAAATTTCCTGCTCTCTTCCCCCAGATTTTCCCCAACTTTTTCCCAAATTTTCCCCAATTTTTCCCCAATTTTTTCCCAATTTTATTTCTCAAATTTATTTCTCAATTTTTCCCCAATTTTTCCCCAATTTTTCCCCAATTTTTCCCAAATTTTTCCCCAAATTTTTTCCATTTATTTCTCAAAATTTCCCCAATTTTCCCCCAGTTTTTCCCCAAATCTTTCCCAAATTTTTCCCATTTATTTCCCAAACTTTTCCCCCAAATTCCTCCCAATTTTTCCCAAATTTTCCCCAATTTTTCCCAAATTTCCCCCAAAATTTTTCCCATGTTTTTCTGAAATCATCCCAAATTTTTCCCCAATTTTTTCCCAAATTTCCCCAAGTTTTTCCCATTTATTTCCCATTTATTTCCCAATTTTTCCCCAATTTTTTCCCTATTTTCCCTCAATTTTCCCCAAATTTTCCCCAATTTTTTCCCAAATTTATTTCTCAAATTTATTTCTCAAATTTTTCCCAATTTTTCCCCAATTTTTTTCCAATTTTTCCCCAATTTTTCCCTAAATTTTTTCCATTTTTCTCAAAATTTCCCCAATTTTTCCCCAATTTTTCCCCAATTTTTCCCTAAATTTTTTCCATTTTTCTCAAAATTTCCCCAATTTTCCCCCAATTTTCCCCCAATTTTCTCCCAAATTTCTCCCAATTCCCCCCAATTTTTCCCCAATTTTTCCCCAATTTTCCCGCAAATTTCTCCCAATTTCCCCCCAATTTTTCCCCAATTTTTTCCCATTGTTCCCCCAAATTTTTCCCAATTTTCCCCAAATTTTCCTCAATTTTTTTGCAATTTATTCCCAAATTTTTCCCATTTTTTCCCAAATTTTCCTCAAATTTCTCCCAATTTTTTCCCAAATTTTCCTCAGATTTCTCCCAATTTTTCCCCAGATTTTCCCCATTTATTTCCCATTTATTCCCCCAAATTTCCCCCAATTTTTCCCCAATTTTTTCCCAATTTTTTCCCCAATTTTCCCCCAATTTTTCCCAAATTTTCCCCAGTTTTTTCCCAAACTTTTCCTGACATTCCGGGTGTTTTCCTGTCCCCTCAGGGTGACGCAGTGCAAGTACAAGCGCATCGGCTGCCCCTGGCAGGGCCCTTTCCACGAGCTCTCCGTGCACGAATCCGAGTGCGCCCACCCGGCCAAAACGGGCAACGAGCTGATGGAGATCCTGGAT